GAGTTTTGGAATCCAACATCCACTATGGATGTGTGGATCACACCAAAAGTTAATATTTATGATATGGTTTGAAAAACAACAATGGTTAAAACATGCCATTTTAGTTGGTTCAGATTTTTTTGTCTTTTATTTCATTTAAGGCAAAATTTACTTTTACCTTAAATGAAGGGGGCATTGTTGACACCAAAAAATAAATATCTGTCGATTATGGCTTGTTAAAAGTCCTATTTCGGACACTTATGCTATGTTAAGTCCTGTGTAATTTCTTATAGGCTTTCAAGTCCTATTTAGATAGGAATGTATTCTACAAGATCCTATGAGTTGTAAATAAATTGTATTAATATACTATTATACACTATAATGGCAAAACCATATATAGGAAATTGAATGTTATCATAGAAAGTAACACTTTCACATTCAATTAAAAAAATCAAAAACCTAGTAAGTTTGCGAAACGTAACGTGACACGTTACGTTACGTTTATGTAGGTGTCACGTTACATTACGTTTATGTAAGTGTCACGTCATATTACGTTACGTTTATGTAGGTGTCACGTCACGTTACGTTTATGTAATGTCCCATCTGATATGGTCACGTTACGTTTCGCAAACTTAATCTATGGTAACATTCAATTTCTTATATATGGTTTTACCATTATTTATGATATTAACAACTAATATTGAGGGTAAATGTGTCAACAAACTTCACACAGGACTTATGGGAACGTAAGTTTTTTAGTAGGACCATATGTAGCATAAGTCTCCCTAATAGGACTTATAAATAGTTTTCACATTATTATTATTATTATTATTGCTTGTACAGGAGGCAGTTGATACATAATGGAGTAGTGGAGGTAGTTGGAGTTGACACGTATGAGTTGATGCTAGAATTATATGTTGCGTTATCATTGAAGAACGGCCTTATAGAACTGCCTTGAGCAGTTGTTTTGGAAGGAACCGAATGGTTATAAGCCTATAAATAGACAAATGGGGAAACAAGAAAAAGACCTTTAACCAAATTCACAACTCATGTGAAATCTAGGAGTAGTGTAACTTATCTAGGAGTAGTCTATCTTAACTTAGGAATAGTTCATCTGTAATTCAGTTCCAGTTTAGCCCTGTTGATTGTGATGTTATTTGAATTTATAATTTGATTATTGTAATTAAGTGACAAGTTTAAGTGTTATTCAATCGAATTTTAGTTTGTTTGCACTTGTTTTTTCGCATTGTAACCTCCAAAAAAAAGTCTTTGAATCTATCAAAGTATAGGACACCAACCACATTGCTTAATTAAGTTGTTGTTTGTGAAAATTGATTTTTCCTGTCGACTTTTTCTTGTCGATTTGACCCAAATCAAATTTTTTCTAACATGTGTATTGGGGAAACTGTCTAAATGATATCATTATTGACATAAACTAATTAAATATAAGTTGCATTTTGGGGTTACAAAACCAATCAAGCTAGTTGAGTTTGACAAGTAATTGGCCTATAAAAGCTTGTTTGATTGGTTCATTATGTAGATAAGTCAAATTTGAATGTATATTTAAAACTCGTTAATTTTTCAAACTAGGGTTGAACAATTTACTATTTATTCATAAACTGAAATACACTAAAAAAAACAAATTATTCGAGTTTGACTCATATTCGAATCATTAAAACTTGTTCAACATCTGTTTATTATTTTAAAAAAGTCAAATTTAAACGTATTTTAAAAATTATAAAGATTTTAAATTAAATTTGAACAATTTACGATTCAGCTTCACTCAATTCATTTCTAACCTAAAGGCCCTTACAAATTTTTTTAAAAGGGGAGAGAGAGAGAGTCTATTGGAAAATGCAAAAAAAGCTCCGGAAAAAAAAAAAAAAAAAAAAAAAAAAAAAAAAAAAAAAGTAGCAAGAAACTAATTTTGAACAAGAATAAGATGTCCTATAATTTTTCTTGTTAAATTTTGTTTTATTTTGTTTTGTTTAGTGGTTTTGTGGTTTACATACCCCCCAAATGCAGGGCAACCAATTCCCCATACGCATAGTCAAGCCCCAAGGGCCAATAAAGGGGGGGAAAAAATTCAAGGTAATACTACATTATCATTCACACATAATATTACACTATCCAACAAGAGATTAGTCGAGATTTGTGTAAACTGATCTGACTTAAAAAAAAAACAATTGATTGCTAACTAGAAAGTTACATTTGAATAAGGGGGTTCATTTTTCATTTATAGTTTTATTATTAAGGAAGTGTTTAATAACCAGATTCAATACTTAAAATTGAATGTATTAAGTGATAATCAATTAAACCTGTTTAATAACCATAACTGGTATCACTTAAAAATTTAAGTGCATCTTAAAATATAAGTTAAAATTTAAGAAACTTTTAAGTCATATGAAACATATTAATTCTACCTGAATTTATTAATATAGATTATTACAAACTCACCACCACCACCGCTACCATTATCACCACCACCTTCATCACTATTGTTATTGTTGCCATAAGCATCACTATCATACCACCACCACCACCACCACCATGCCACTACCATCATTGCCATTACCATTATGCCACCACCACAACAGGCATCACCACCTTCATCACCATTGTTATTGTTGCCATAAACACCACTATTATTTTATTACTACTACCATCGCTGCCGCTGCCGCTACCGCTACTGCTATCACCACCACCAACACTATCGCCATGCCACCATCACCACTATCCTACCATTACCATCACCATCAACATCATAACATCACCACCACCACTACTACCACCATCATAATATAAAAATTGAAATATGCAATTTAGAAATAATAAATTTTAAATTGGATCTTATACGTATCGAATAATTTATTTTTAGTTCAGCATTTATATTTTTATCAAATAACTTTCTAATTTAAAAAATTTAACATTTAATTTTTAGTATTTAATTTTCAGTTTTCAATTTTTAGAGAGTTGATTAAGAGGGTTCATTTTACTTATAATTTCTAAGTATTATTATTATTTTTTAAATTGAGCCATTAACTGAGAGTATACAAATTTCTTTCCATATTTTAAAAATTAATTTTGATTTGTCCTATAATTCTACTTTTATTTCTCATTCTCTCCCTCAACTCAACTGGGAGCTTCTATTTACACACACCTAATCCACTCTATACACACACTTAATGATATTTATTTTTATTACAATTTTATCCTTAAGTGAAATTACTATTTTGGACAACATACCAAATTCAAATAAACAAACGTCTCAATGCACATCCAGACTTCACATCCATTTGTTAAAGTTGTTGAAGCTCTAAGTTCATTCTAGCTACTACTTCTTCCATTGAAGCTGTTGAAGCTCCAAGTCCATTGAAGTTGTTGAAGCTATTGAAGCTCCAAGTCCATTCGTAGCTTTCCATTTCCATTAGTTTACACACTAACCTCATCCTCATTCATTTTTATTATGGAGGATTTCTCTTCTGAAAATAAATGTTTGTGAGAAAGATAGCCAAGGAAATGTGAGTTTTGCAATGTAAAAGCCTTGTTTTTTTTTTTCAGCATCTTTTAGATAACCAAAGTCAAAATATATCATTTTGTTCGGAATTCTACTACCGAAATAATTATTTAATTTCGGAAGTTGTTGTCCGGAATAATTTAAATTTTGCAACATTCAACTTCCGAAATTTTAAAATTAATTCGGACAACTACATTCGAAAATTAGCATTTTGTTTGACACTGTACTTCTGAATGAAGTAAATTTTTTTTCCCCATTTTATATTTCAAATTTGTAAACTGCATACTAAATTTACAGTTTTGAATTGCAAATTAATCTTTATAATGCTATTTCAAATTTGTAACGTTATACAAAACATGTAGGAATATGTGTCAACTCAAGGAAGTCAAGTTTGCACGGATAGTGTGTTAGATTACACTACTCAATTCACAACTGAACAGGTTTACTCTATGAAATTATAATGATTATGTTTTGAATTGCTCAACAAATGTAAATGTTTGATAATATTTATTTGACTTTGTAGGTATTCAAAAGTAAGGATGAATTGCTCAACTGGGTACGTGAAGTTGGAAAGAGAAATGGTTTGGTCATTGTAATCAAAATATCAGACTATGGTGGAGGGAAAAAAAGACCCAGGATGTATCTTGCCTGTAAGAGGAGTGGCCAATATAGAGCGACAAAAAAGTTAAAACATGATGGCAACAATACATCAAGAATAACCGGTACGAAGAAGTGTGGTTGTCCTTTTGATATGAGGGCTCACATGTTTACCACACATGATGAATGGACATTGATCGTAGTATGCGGATTGCATAACCATCCACCTGCAGTGCACCTTGAGGGGCATTCACATGCGGAGAGGCTATCAAAGGATGAGAAAGCATTGTTAATAGATATATCAAAGAGCATGGTTAGGCCAAAAGAAATCCTAGTAACCTTGAAACAGCGAAATGCCCTTAATGTAAGCACACTTAAAACCATTTACAATGTATGCCATCGAAATAGGGTGGTACAAAGAGCTGGAAGATCACAGATGCAACACTTATTGGGTGAATTGGCCAAGTATAATTACATTGAGCGCCATCGATGTGAAGAGTCCACAATGACTGTGACTGTGACTGACTTGTTTTGTGCACATCCTACCAGTTTAGACTTATTTCGGTCTTTCCCACGTATATTAATTATGGATTGCACATATAAAACCAACAGCTATTGTCTTCCTATTCTTGGAATTGTGGGAGTGACATCAACTGAAATGACTTTCTCTGTAGTTTTCGCATACTTATAGTATAAAAGGGCCCATAACTATGCGTGGGTGTTAGCTACATTGCGTGATGTCATGGATGGTTTTGTTTTGCTAGCGATTATTGTTACTGATAGGGAGCTAGCCTTGATGAATTCCATACAGAAGATATTCCCGAGTGGCAGACATTTATTATATCGTTGGCATATCAGTAAGAATGTATTAACCAATAAGATATAAAAATGCTAATATAGCAGCACCCTAGGCGTAAGTATGAATGGATCCCAAATCCATCAAAAAACCAAGGTAAACAACAGGAACCCTACCGCCACTCTTGTCATTGAAGAGTGTACATCCCAACAGAAATAACAAATAAGCTCTAACAGCGCACTGTATAGCCTCATCTGGGTCTAAATCTGTGACACCAGCAAACTGACTTCGTAACCACTCAAGCCTGACTGAATTCCCACCAGCAGTAGAAACCTCGTCATGTGCTACACGTTCAGTAATCCCCAAGCCATAAACCAGTAGTGTAACTCCATGATGATCTATCACATCTAGCACGCTAACTGATCTGCCAACAATGGGAAGGCTAAGAATAATGCCAACATCATCCAAGGTCAAGGTCATCTCACCAACTGTCATATGAAATGTGTTCGTCTCAGGTTGCCATCTCTCAACAAAACTGGAGATTAGAAGCTTGTTGACGAACCGATAAGTGTAACGAGCTAACTGCAGTAGCCTAGACTGCTCAATAATGGCTTTGAATCTGGTGTTGTTGTCTACTGACCACCATGGCCATGCAAGGATCTTCGAAGAGTGATTATGACACTTTAGGAGCCATCGTTCCTATAACACAAATGATATCTCATTGGAAACTACCATACAACACACACACACATACACACAAAAAAAAAATATATTGAATTTCACTTCTACTCAGGAATGTTTACCTTCCCGTGCCAAACAGCTGCAGCGACATGACTATTGAAACTCCGCAGTATTCATAGATCAGTCAGTCCACCTGGAAAAGCATGAGTAAGGTCCTCTTCCTGGACAGTAGGAGAATCGGGTAAAGAGGCATCCTCCACGGCAATGTCAGGCATATCATCACCTTCAACTCGTCTTTGGCTTCGGCTCTGACTTTTACTGGCATTGGGGATATCATATTCTACCGAAACTAGATCACGACCCCGACCTCGTTCTCACCCACGCCCTCGTCCCGTTCATGGTCAACATCCAATTCACGACATCGTCTATTTGAAGCAATAGGTAGGACACGTTGTTGACATTCAGAATCCATATTATCTACAAAAATTAATATGTTTAATGACTATACAACTGTAAAAAGAATATACAAAAAATGGAGGATAAAAAAAAAAGAAAAGAAAACTGTTCGGAAGTTGAAAACCGAAAATATATATTCTGTTCGGAAGTTGAAAATCGAAAAAAAAAATTAATTTCGAAAGTTGAATGTTGTCCGAATTAAAAATATTCGAAAGTTGACTGTCAAAATAATGAAAAAAATTCAGAAATCTACTGTTGAAATAAATGATTATTTTCAGATTTCTACTTCCGAACAACTTGTTTACTTTCAGAAAACCAGGTCCGAATGATGAACAGATTGTTCATTTCAGTGGGCGTTCGTTCGTTTCGAAAATAGTAAAAACAAAACTCTACATTACAAATTAAATAGGAATGAGGATTGAAAAGTAAACTAACCTAAATAGGAATGAGGATCGAAAATGAGGATTCAATGCTTCAATGAGATGTCTTGATGGATGCAGCTTTGGGGATGAAAGCTGTGAGAGAGGACTTGTGTAAGAGACGTATGTGAGAGATACAGCTTCAATGGGTGTGTATTTGCACCGTTGGGAGAGCTGGGTTTGAGGGTCTGGGTGTGTGTGTGTGTATGAGGGTAGATGTGGAATAAAACGTGTGTGCAGTGAGTAAAATAATTAAGAATTAATTTTTTTGATATATGTAATGAGAAAAATGTATAAAGAGTGAATATTGTGTATGCAAATAGAAGCTCCCAACTCAACACCTCTTGATTTGTTGTCAACCAATAGAAAATTATGTATATACCAAAAAATCTGAGCCCTCTATCCTAGCAATTCCCTGGCATCATCATGACTTTGAAGAATGATAGTTGGTTGGTTCAAAATAAAGGAAAATTAATTTTAAAAAATAATTGTAAATTAGTGACAAAATTTATTAATTTTAATAAATAAATTTATGTATATAAATATTTTATAAAAATATCACTCACTCTGTTTAATTTGGAGTTTTTAAAAACATTTTTTTGAATTTTTAATTTGTATTTTTATATTTCTAGTAATTTTTAAAATTATTTAATCATTTTTTTTTACTTTTTAAATCCACTTAATCTTGATATACTTAAAAAATATAAAATTTATACAAATTTTTTTTAAAATTCATTGAATATAACAAAATATGAAAATATATTGAATTTTCATATTTTTTTTGTATTTGATGATTTTTTTTAATTTTTTTTTACAAATATTATATGTGGGGACATAAAAATTTTGAATAACGACACGTGGCCAAGGTGTCACCGAAGAGCCAGCCGAGGTGCCACGTGTCCTAGTCATAACGCCGAGGTGATCTCGGCAAGGCCGAGGTTATCTCCGAAGATACCGGAATCCGAGATAAGCAGATAAGGGACAAGAGTCCTAGAATGGGAGAAGACTTCAGTTTGGATTAAGATAAGACTCTTAGAGAGTTTATCCTAATTCAACTGGGAGTCCAAGATTAGTAGTAATCCTAAGTCCATTGGAGCTAGGCTTCTATTGGGACTAGGATTATGTTGGCTATAAAAGAGAGGCACCCTCATGAGTCTAAGGTATGTCTTTTATGCTTTTGATATTCTGTCTAGTGAGTTAAGCACTATTAGTTTTCTTTGAAAGATATTAAGTACTGACTTGATCATCGGAGTGCCCCCGGGTGGACGAGCCACCGCCGGAATCTTCTCTTTTTGTTGCAGGTCGTTCGGGCTTAATCTATTCTGCCAGTGCTCTCTAGTTAAGTACTAATTTGGCAGTGTGGTCGGAAATCAACACACACAATTTGGTGCCGTCTGTGGGAACGAAAGGAGAATAGATGGCCAACGACAAACCGAAAGAAAAGGTTGGGGACGACACCCCTACTAAGAGTGGGAAACATATTGACCTTGGCGTCAAAAAAGACAACTACAACGAAAAAACTCGTGATAAGAATCACGGAGAAGAGGACGTCGACCAGGAGGGCGACGTGCCGAAGAAATCAGACCGAAGCAAATATTATAACGAGAACGACCTCTAGCCACCGTTCCTGTCACAAGATACGCCGATTCCAGCAGCCAAGAAAGATGCCCAGGCAGGGGGGCAAAAGACAACTCCTACGACTCCTCAGCACGATAGGACCAAGGAACATTCTCACCGGCCTTTAAGGGAGGTCGGATGAGGAGAATCAAGATGGGGAAATTCACAGAGGACACATCGCACCAAGGAAGCTGACTCCAAAGAACATCGGCATGTTCAGGGGGAGGACCTCTGTTTCGGCGCGACCAATGGAGGGAGGTCCAAAAGAACTCGCAATGACACAGGAAGTAGTGCACCAAAGAGGCTGAAATCCGGAGATAGCTGAGCTCCTAGACAAACCAAGGAGGATATGAGGGATTACCTCCAGAGAAAGCGACAAGATGCCGGGGTGACCTCACTTGTCAAGCCGAGATAACACTGGATATGAGAAGACAAGAGCTCAGTCCAAGTATGCCGATCCCGGATTCCAGATCTCGGATCCCAGATCCCAGAAGACAAGATCTCGGCCTAAGATGATTAAGTCCGAGAAGAGAAGAGCTTGCCGAGATGATGTTTAACACTTGTTGAAACTTGAGAAAAGTTTACAAGTTGAAGTTAAACCGAAATCATTGTTTAACACTTGTTGAAATTTGTGGACAATTTACAAGTTAAAGTTAAACCGAAATCATTGTTTAACACTTGTTGAAATTTGTGAAAAATTTACAAGTTGAAGTTAAACCGAAATCATTGTTTAACACTTGTTGAAATTTGGAAAAAATTTACAAGTTAAAGTTAAACCGAGAGCATTGTTTAACATTTGTTGAAATTTGTGGACAATTTACAAGTTGAAGTTAAACCGAAATCATTGTTTAACACTTGTTGAAATTTGTAAAAAATTTACAAGTTGAAATTAAACCGAGAGTATTGTTTAACACTTGTTGAAATTTGTGGACAATTTACAAGTTGAAGTTAAACCGAGATCATTGTTTAACACTTGTTGAAATTTGTGGACAATTTACAAGTTGAAGTTAAACTGAAATCATTGTTTAACACTTGTTGAAACTTGAGAAAAGTTTACAAGTTGAAGTTAAACCGAGATTATGTTTAACACTTGTTGAAATTTGTGGACAATTTACAAGTTAAAGTTAAACCGAGATTATGTTTAACACTTGTTGAAACTTGAGAAAAGTTTACAAGTTGAAGTTAAACCGGGGTCATGATTAAAGGAAGGAATGATATAGGTTCCATCACCTCAAGATGCCAAGGTAATAGAACCTGGGGAGCAGTTGTGGGGACATTAAAATTTTGGATACCGACACGTGGCCGAGGTGTCACCGAAGTACCAGCCGAGGTGCCACGTGTCTTGGTCATGACACCGAGGTGATCTCGGCAAGGCCGAGGTTATCTCCGAAGATACCGGAATCCGAGATAAGCAGATAAGGGACTAGAGTCCTAGAATGGGAGAAGACTTCAGTTTGCATTAAGATAAGACTCTTAGAGGGTTTATCCTAATTCAACTAGGAGTCCAAGATTAGCAGTAATCCTAAGTCCATTGGAGTTAGGCTTCTATTGGGACTAGGATTATGTTGGCTATAAAAGAGAGGCACCCTCATGGGTTTAAGGTATGTCTTTTATGCTTTTGATATTATGTCTATTGAGTTAAGCACTATTGGTTTTCTTTAAGAGATATTGAGTACTGACTTGATCGTCAGAGTGCCCCCATGTGGACGAGCCATCGCCAGAATCTTCTCTTTCTGTTGCAGGTCGTTCGGGCTTAATCTATTTAGCCGGTGCTCTCCAGCTAAGTACTAATTTGACAGTGTGGTCGAAAATCAACGCACACATTATACTTTTTACATGTACCTAAATTATATGTATCTAAAATATATATATATATATATATATTAAAAAATTACTAGAAATATAAAAAATAAAAAAAAAAAATTAATTTAAAAAAAAAAAAAAAAAACAGAAGTATTCAAATAAATTGACTAATTTGCAATTTTTCCCAAAAGCAAAGGCTTGAGGGCACGCTTCCTCCATTCCATTCCCAAGATAAAACAAAAAATTGCGTGACCTTATCAAACGTGTTCCAAAGTGAGATGTTAGTAGCGTTTGACCAAAGCTGACTTTTTTTTTTCTGTTTTTCTTTTTTTTGCTTTTTTTAAAAAATGTATAAAAAAAAAAAGAAATATGATATCACTCAAAATAAATTAAAAATTAAAAGATGACTTTTAATCATTTTCTCAAAATAACCTTTTATCCCCCAAAAGTATTTTGAAAAAATGATTTTAAGATGGTTAAAAACTATCTTCTAACTTTTAACCTATTTTAAATCACATCATCTCTTATATTTTTACACATTTTTTTATAAAAAAAAATTGAAAAAAACCAACTTTTAATCCTCTTATCAAAAGAGCCACAAATCTCGCAAAACGCATACGTATACATACCCACATAGACGTAATGAATGACGATATATGAAAAGCACAACTACGGCTTTGCTTCTTCCCCAAGCTTATTCAAGTTTCAACCTCTATATAAACAAGTTTCTCAACCCAATAACAATATCCAATTAACAACAAACAACAACTACCCATTTATAAGTTTTTTGTTGTGAATCTCTATAACCATGTCATTAGCTAATAGTGGCTTTGTTGAAGCTTACGTGATGAGAAAGCTCCTCAAGGAGAAGATGATGAAGGAGAGCTTGGTTGTTGAAGAGGCAAGAGATGATGAGACCAAGGTGGTGGTTATTCCTAATCATCAAAACCAAAGGAATAAAAATAGTTCAAATAATGGTTGCTTATTTGGGATGCTCAAGAAGAAGATCCACCCTGCTTCTACCCGTGTCCCGGCGATGAATTCCTAGGAATGGATCTGCTCCTGCTGTCATCTTGGAGGAACCACAACTGTAGTACTACTACTTATTATTATTGGTATTTGTTTGTCTTAAAGATGAGAAAGTTTATAGTGAAATTTGTAAATTCTAAGCTAATGT